CCTTTAGGAGGTCAGACCTGCTGAGAGGAAGTTAGGTCATTGGGGGTGCCATGAAGGAGATATTGGGACTCTGACCCCTCCACTTTCTCTTTGATTCCCAGCTGCCATGAGATGAGCAACTTCCTCCACTATATGTTCTCACTATGAGGAACTGCTTTGCCATTGATCCAAAAGCAATGGACCAATCGACCATGGATTGAAACTGTGACCTGAAATAAGCCTTTCCTCCTTAAAGGTTGATTGTCTCAGGTATTTTGTCACAGTGACAGAATGCTAATATAGATGGAAAAGAAAGTCAGTTCAATTTTACAAACCAGAACAGCATTTCCCTATCTATAGGCAAGACGTATTTTTGCATTGCTATTGATTTTCTACACTTAATAGGGAATCGTGATCATATAACCTGGATGGGTAACCTCTCGAATTTAGACAATGCATAGTTTTATGCTGAAACAGAAAATTTTGTCCAGCTGAGAGATGGGATGGTTGAATCTAAGGAACTAGAAAGAAGAGCAGGTCGATAGAGCTTGGGAGAAGAAGGGTATCAGAAAATGTTTCTGGACAAGAATGAGGGCCCTCCTAGTTCTGGGAGATAACAGAGCTTCCACTGTTATCTATTATCTGGGCTCCTGTTGAATTCCACAGTGAAATTCTTTGATGAAAGAGATGTGAGGGCTTACTTGAGGGACAGCCAGGAAGGAAGGAACCATAAAACAAGGTTGGATCCCAGAGCTTTGTTGGCAGGAGGCCCACCACCAGTTTTCAAGATGGAGGTAAAGCCAGAAGGGAAGGGCACTTTGGCCATTAGGGCAGCCTGATGAAAGCTAGGCCCCTTAAAGCAGGGGCAGCCTGGATGTTCTTCATGCCAGGGAGGCTCTCAGGGCCTGGCCTGAAAACGGGGAGGATCTTCACTCTAGAATTAGAGCCATATAGGACAGAACTACCCCAGTGGAACCCAGGGATTCTCTGAGGGAGGAATTTCAGGATTCAGTGAGGTGATTCCTGCTGGGAGTGGGGGCGCATCCTGGATCCCCGGTGAACATAGACCTGGGGAGTTCTGCCCATGGTCTCCATCCTGGCACTCCAAAGCTGAGTGAGAAGAACTTCAGTACCTGCTAAAGTGAAGAGATTCTCAAAGAGTTACAGCCTGGCTAGTGCCATTAAACCCTGCCTCTACCTCCATCCAACTTTGAGGGCAGGAGGCCCACCACCAGTTTTCAGTAGAAATTCCAAATTGCCAAAAGTTTGGAAACATTCCCACTTCTTCCACCAGATGATGCACATCATCCCCTCGTTGACTAATTGTGAAACTTTACAATAAGCCCTTATATCTACAAAGGAGTTTGTCAGAACCCAACCCATCCTGCTTCCCCAGGAGATATGAAGAAACTGTGGGAGCTTCAAGTCCCTGGGTGGAGGGGAGGAACAGAGGAAAACACTGCTGGGGTGGCTGAGAGCCCAGACAGGGAAAGGAAATCCTGGCCAGAAATTCTCACTCCAACTCTCTCTCAACTTTACCCTTATTCTTTTTATTGTTTCACTTTATTTCATATAAAGTTTTTTTTTTTTTTAATTTTTTTAGTTATCGGCAGACACAACATCTTTGTTGGTATGTGGTGCTGAGGATCGAACGCGGGCCGCACGCATGCCAGACGAGCGCGCTACCACTTGAGCCACATCCCCAGCCCCTCATATAAAGTTTTGAAATTCCAACCCAAAAGTATTTATCGGTAAGTTGTGTGCAGTGGCACATGCCAGCTACTGGGGAGGCAGAGACAGGAGAATCACCTGAGCCCAGGTATTTGGGGCCAACCTGGGCAACATAAGGAATCCCTTTCTCTTAAAAAGTAATAATAGAAAAAAATCATCTGTTTAGGACTGGAGGCGTAGCTCAGTGGGTAGACTGCTTTCCTAGCATGCACAAGGCCCTGAGTTTAATTCCTAGTGACACATACACACACACACACACAAAAAAAAAAATAGTTCAACAACAATAACAAAGCCAACGTGGTGGGAAAAAAATGACAATTTGAATAGACATTTCCCCAAGGAAGATAAGCGACAGGTCAACAAGCACACGGAAAGATGCTCAACATCACTAATGGGAACAAAAATCAAAATGATGATGAGGTATCATCTTATACCCATCACAATGGCTACTATGTAAAACAAAGAATTGGGAAGAAAGGCAACTATTGGCAAGGATGTAGAGAAACTGGAACCACTGTGTGCTGTCGGTGAGCACGTGAAATGGTGTGACTGCTATGGAAAGCCCTAGAGAAGTTTCTCAATAAATTAAAACATAAACTGGGCACGGTGGCACACACCAGTAATCCCAGCAGCTTGGGAGGCAGAGGCAGGGGGATCACAGACTCCAGGCCAGACTCTGCAACTTAGTGAGGCCCTAAGCAATTTAGTGAGACCCTGTATCAAAATAAAAAATAATTTTTAAAAAAAAGAGCTGGGGTGTAGTTCCGTGGTAGGGAGTCCCTGAGTTCAATCCCCAGGACTAAAAAACAATTAATTAATTAATTTTAAAATTCCAAATAGATTTTAGTTAAAATTTAAATGTAAAAAAATAAAACAAACATTCTTGAATTGTGGTGAAGGGTTTCCAATTAGGTCTTTTTTGTTGTTGTTCTAATTAGTTGTACATGACAGCAGAATGCATTTTGACTTTCTAATTATGTCTTAAGGTCAGAAAACATAATAGAAGAAGTGATAATTTAGCCAGGTGCAATGGTACACACCTGTAATCCCAGCAGCTCGAGAGGCTGAGGCAGGAGGATCCCAAGTTCAAAATCAGCCTCAGAAAATTAGTGAGACCCTAAGCAATTTAGCAAGACTCTGTTTCAAAATTAAAAAAAAAATGGCTGGGGATATAGCTCAGTGGTTAAGCACCCCTGGGTTCAATCCCCTTAACCAAAATAAAAAATAAAGGATGTTTGAGCAGTGCACCGTAGCACATGCCTGTAATCCCAGCAGCTTGGGAGGCTGAGGCTAGCTTCAGCAGCTTAACAAGGCCCTAAACTCAGCAAGATCCTGTCTCTAAATAAAACACACACACACGGCATTTCTTGTAGAAATAGATAAAGCAATCATGAAATTCATATGGAAAAATAAAAGACCCAGAATAGCAAAAACAACTCTAAGCAGGAAGTGTGAATCAAGCGGTATAGCGATACCAGACTTCAAACTATACTACAGAGCAATAGTAACAAAAACAGCATGGTACTGGTACCAAAACAGGCAGGTGGACCAATGGTACAGAATAGAGGACACAGAAACCAATACAATATTACAACTATCTTATATTTGATAAAGGGGCTAAAAGCGTGCAATGGAGGAAGGATAGCATCTTCAACAAATGGTGCTGGGAAAACTGGAAATCCATATGCAATAAAATGAATCTGAATCCCTTTCTCTTGCCATGCACAAAAGTTAACTCAAAATGGATCAAGGAGCTTGATATCAAATCAGAGACACGGCGTCTGATAGAAGAAAAAGTTGGCTACGATCTACATACTGTGGGGTCGGGCTCCAAATTCCTCAATAGGACACCCATAGCACAAGAGTTAATAACTAGAATCAACAAATGGGACTTACTCAAACTAAAAAGTTTTTTCTCAGCAAAAGAAACAATAAGAGAGGTAAATAGGGAGCCTACATCCTGGGAACAAATCTTTACTCCTCACACTTCAGATAGAGCCCTAATATCCAGAGTATACAAAGAACTCAAAAAATTAAACAATAAGAAAACAAATAACCCAATCAACAAATGGGCCAAGGACCGGAACAGACACTTCTCAGAGGAGGACATACAATCAATCAACAAGTACATGAAAAAATGCTCACCATCTCTAGCAATCAGAGAAATGCAAATCAAAACCACCCTAAGATACCATCTCACTCCAGTAAGATTGGCAGCTATTACGAAGTCAAACAACAACAAGTGCTGGCGAGGATGTGGGGAAAAGGGTACACTTGTACATTGCTGGTGGGACTGCAAATTGTTGCGGCCAATTTGGAAAGCAGTATGGAGATTTCTTGGAAAGCTGGGAATGGAACCACCATTTGACCCAGCTATTCCCCTTCTTGGTCTATTCCCTAAATACCTAAAAAGAGCATACTACAGGGACACTGCTACATCGATGTTCATAGCAGCACAATTCACAATAGCAAGACTGTGGAACCAACCTAGATGCCCTTCAATAGACGAATGGATAAAAAAATGTGGCATTTATACACAATGGAGTATTACTCTGCATTAAAAAATGACAAAATCATAGAATTTGCAGGGAAAGGGATGGCATTAGAGCAGATTATGCTAAGTGAAGCTAGCCAATCCCTAAAAAACAAATGCCAAATGTCTTCTTTGATATAAGGAGAGTAACCAAGAACAGAGTAGGGAAGAAGAGCATGAGAAGAAGATTAACATTAAACAGGGATGAGAGGTGGGAGGGAAAGGGAGAGAGAAGGGAAACTGCATGGAAATGGAAGGAGACCCTCAGGGTTATACAAAATTACATACAAGAGGAAGTGAGGGGAAAGGGAAAAAAAACAAGGGGGAGAAATGCATTACAGTAGATGGGGTAGAGAGAGAAGAGGGGAGGGGGGATAGTAGAGGATAGGAAAGGCAGCAGAATACAACAGACACTAGTATGGCAATATGTAAATCAGTGGATGTGTAACAGATGTGATTCTGCAATCTGTATACGGGGTAAAAATGGGAGTTCATAACCCACTTGAATCAAAATGTGAAATATGATATATCAAGAACTATGTAATGTTTTGAACAACCAACAATAAAAATTATTAAAAAAAAATAACACACACACACACACACACACACACATATATATATATATGAAGGGCCAGGGATGTCTCTCAATGGTAAAATGCCCTGGGTTCAATCCCTGGTACCAAAAAATAAATAAATAAATGAAAAGAAATATAATGAATGTTTGCTTTCACTATTTGTTTTTGATAGTGTACTGGAAGTCCTAAGCAGAACAATAAAGTAGAGGAAATCAATAAAAGGAATCCAGATTGGAAAGAAAAAGTGAAACCATATTTAATCACGGAAGTTATCATTGTCTATGTGGGAAATTCCATAGAATGTATAGAAAAGATCCAAGAAATAATGGGTGAGTTTAACGATATTGCAGGATACAATACAGAACTAAATTTTATTTCTATATACAAGCAACAATCCATCAAATATTGAAATTTTAAAAATACTATTTACAAAACCATCAAAAGATATTAAATACTTAAGACTCTTCTGACATCTAACAAAAGATGTGTTTAAACATTGAAAACTACAAAAAATTCCTGAGAAAAATTTTTTAAAAACCTAAATATATGGAGAGTTATAATATGTTCATATATCATGTGACATTATAATTTATATTTTTTTGTTTTCATTTCCAGCTTCCAGCTCATATCTCCCTCTTCAACACAAGCATACAAACTGGAATTTAAAAAAAATCTTGAATTTCTCTTCTCCAAGACAGGCCATAGAAACTCAAACTTTCCCCCACCTTTCTGTCTTGGAGCTGGCCATAAAGAAGTTCTCTGGCCAGATGCAGTGGCACACATCTGTAATCCCAGTGACTTGGGAGGCTGAGGCAAGAGGATCACAAGTTCCAGGCCAGCCTCAACAACTTAGACCCTAAGCAACTTAGCAAGACCTGTCTCAAAATAAAAAAAATAAAAAGTGTTGGGGAGGTAGTTCAGTGGTAAAGCAACCCTGAATTCAATTCCCCATACCAAAGAAAAAAAGAAAAAAATTCTCTGACCTGCCCTTATTTTATAGTAGGTCATAAGACCCTCCTCATTCCAAAAGGGCCCTGCCTCTGCCGTGAAGGATGGAATGCTGCACAGAGAAGCCAAGAATGCTGAAGCAGCCAGGCCTTGATGAAATTTTCCACCCCATTTATTAGCATTACATCATACCCTTTTTATCCAATCACATTTCAACATGGTGGTCCATGCTTCAATCATGCCCATGCAATGAAATCTCCATAAAACTCCAAAAAGACAAGGTTTAGAGATCTTTCAGATAGCTGAACATGTGGAGGTTCCTGGAGGGAACTCAAGGAAGAGGTTGTGGGACCCCAATTATATAGTGAGTCAGAAGCACAAAGTGAATCAACCTAGAACTTGCAACTAGCATCTAAAATGTATAAGTGGAGGGCAGTTTGGACACTGAACCCCAACCTGTGGGATCTGACACTATCTCAGGTAGACAGTATCAGGACTGAATTAAATCAGATGACACCTGTCTGATGCCCACTGCTGCAGAGTTGCTTGCTGGCTGGCTGGTGGGGAGAAATCCACACCTGGAATCAGAGGTCTTCTGTGTTGCTTGTGGTGTGAGAGTACGGGGAGAAATACCCTTCTTTTTGGCTCACATAGATCAGAAGACTCAATATCAATAAAATGTCAGTTGTCTCCAAACTGATCTACAAAACAACACAGTTCCAACCTAAATCCCAGGTTTGGGATTTAGAGTGTGCTAATTCTATAATTCAGATAAGAATGCAAAGGAGCCAGAATGGTTAAAATAACATCGAAGAAAACAAGGTTAGAAGCCCTACTTAAGTCATTATAAAACTACACTAATAAAAATGATGTGTTCATTGGTGTGAATAATCACAAATATATCAGTGGAACAGAACCAAGAGTGAGGGAACAGACCTGTATATGAATGGGCAATTGATTTTTCACAAAGGTGTAAAGGCAATTCATCAGAGAAAGAATAGCTTTTCCATTCTTTAAATAAGTCAGTAGAACAGAATAGAGAGTCCAGAAATAGACCTACTATCTATGGTCAACTGATTTTCAACAAAGGTGCAAATGTGATTTGGTGAAGAAAGAAGTAATAGTCTTTTCAACAAATAGTGTTGGAACTGTAGGAAATCTGTGCACAAGAAACAAACCCTTTTTGTGTGTGTGGTATCGGGGACTGAACCCAGGGTCTTGCACATGCTAGGTAAGCGCTCTGCCACTGAACTACATTCCCAGTCCTTTTAATCTATTTTGGGCAGGATCTAGATAAGTTGCTGAGGCTGGCTTCAAACTTGTGATCCTTCTGCCTTGGTCTCCTGAGTAGCTGAGATGACAGGTGTGTGCCACTGTGCTTGGACCCAAAGAAGCAAATTGAAAAACAAAAACCAAAAAACTCAAAATGGATCACAAACGCTTCTAGAAAAAAAGAAAATAGAAGAAAAATTTTCATGACCTTTGGTTCAACAAAGACTTCCTAGATACTGCATCAATAGCACTATCCATTCAAAAAACAATCAATATATTGAACTTCACTGAAATTAGAAACTTCTTTTTGAAAGACACTGTTAAGAGAATGAAAAGACAAGCTATGGCATGAGAAACAGTATTAGCAAATCACAAATCTGATAAAGTTTTATGCAAAATATATAAAGGATTCTCAAAATGTAATAAGAGAACAAGCAATCCCAATTAAAAAATGGAGGCAATATTTGAAAAGACACTTCACCAAGCTGGGTGTAGTGGTACACACCTGTAATCCCAGAAGCTCAGGAGGCTGAGGCAGGAGGATAGTGAATTCAAAGCCAGCTTCAGCAACTTAGCAAGGCTGTAAGCTACTAGGTGAGACCCTGTCTCTAAATAAAATATAAAAAAGGGCTGGGGATGTGGCTCAGTGAGTAAAAAACCCCAGGATCAATCCCTAATACAAAAAAAAAAAAAAAGACCACTTCATCCAAAAAGATATACAAATGACAACACATGAAAAAATGCTTAATATCATTAACTATCAGGGAAATGAAAATTTAAACCTTAATGAGATACCTACATATTCATTAGAATGGCTAAAATGAAATACTTGCCATTCAAGTGTTGGCAAGCATGTGGCGGGCACTGGAACTCTCATACACTGCTGATGGTAGTATAAAAAATAGAAATCAATTGGAAAAACATCTGGTAGTTTCTTAAAAAGTTAAATATGCACTTACTGTATAGCCAGTAATTGTGCTCCTACAAATTTACTCAAGAGAAGTAAAAACAAATTTCTATGCAAAGACATGTGTACAAATATTCATTCTTTATTTGAAAGAGTAAAAAACTGAAAACAACCTAAATGTTCAACAGTAAATACATAAACAAATTGTAATATATATATACAATGGAATACTACTCAGCAATAAAAAGAAATGAGCTCTTTCTTTGGGGGTGGGGTAGTGGAGATTGAATCTAATGGCACTCTACTAACTGAGCTACATCCCTTTTATTCATTCATTCATTTGTAATACTGGGGATTGAACTCAGGGACACTATACCACTAAGCTACATTCCCAGCCCCTTTTATTTTTTATTTTGAAACAGGGTCTCACTAGGTTGCCCAGGCTGGCCTAGAACTTGCCAGCCTCCCGAGTAGCAGGTGTTCATCACTGTGCCAAGCTAAGAAATGAGATCTTGATACACACACAGTAGCATAGATGAGTCTCAGAGTAAATACTCAGTGAAAGAAGCCAGACAAAAAGGTATAAAACTCCCCAAATTGCAAACTAGTCCATAGCAACAGAAAGCAGATCACTGGTTACTATAGTAGATGAGTTGGGGGGTATGGGGAGTGTGAGAAGGGCAAGAGGAAACTTTGAGGCTGAAAGATGTGTTTATTATTGTGATTGCAGTTTATTTCATGCCAAAAGAAAAAGACTGGAGGGGCTGGAGTTGTAGCTCAGTGGTAGAGCACTTGCCTGGCATGTGTGGGGCCCTGGTTGGATCCGCAGCACTGCATATAAATAAATAAATAAATAAATAAGTAGATAGATAGGTAGATTGTTAGGTAGATAAAAGGATCCACTGACAACGAAAACATTTTTTTAAAAAAAGAAAGAAAGAAAAGAAAGAGGTGAGCCTGGTGGCTCATGCCTGTAATCCCAGCAACTCGGAAGGCTGAGGCAGGAGGATTCCAATTTCAAGGTTAGTCTGGGCAACTTAGTGAGACCCTGTCTTAAAAAAGGGCTGGGGATGTGATTCAGTGGTAGTGCCCCAAGGTTCAATGCTGAGTACCGTGAAAAAAACCCAAAAAGGTCAATCTAGGGTGAGGTGGAAATGGGAGACCAGGTATCAGAGCATGAAGGACTTTGGAGCCAGAATGAGAGGTATAGATGATTCCAAAGTGAGGGGCAAGCATCCAAGCACTTCAGACAGGATTTGATTGTGGAAAACCAATGCTGTGGGTAGGAGATCTGAAATAGATCACAGGAGAAAAGCAAGGAGTTGTGGTGATGAGGATGGATTCTAGAACTAAAAGGAAGGAGAAACAACTGGATCCATGATAATCTAGGGCTGATGCCCTACTCCCAGGGCAGGGTCACCTGATAAACCAAATCTGGGGCAAAGAAGGACCTTGGGAGCTTGTGAAAACAAATCCTGCCATATCTGCTTTTTTTTTTTTTTTTTTATTTCTCCCTTATAAATGGTGTCCTGTGACTGCAGTTCTTTCTTCTGACTTCAGCTGGGTGTTACTGCCTGTCTAAGAACTACTGGCTCAGGTCTGGCTCACCCAGCAGGAAGGAGCCTGCCCCTGCATCTCCACCTCAAGGCGGCAAAGGCCTCCAGGGACCTGTTTTCTTTCTGCTGATGACAAGGGCTCCCACTTTACCCTGTGCAAGCCAAGAAGTGATTTCTCTCTGAAGTCAAGTTCCTCCTTCTGGCTGTCCTCCAACTCTTTATGTGTAATGTAAAGCAGGCATTTTTCATCGTGCCTTGTGACTTGCTTAAATGAGCCTGGCATCAATGCCCGGTTTTCTTGCCCACTTTCTCGTCCCACCACAGTTGACTCTTGAAACTGCAGCTGCCACTGGGCCCTGATTCATGGGTGACCCCCATCAGGTGACAGAAATCTAAATATAACTGGCTAGCTGGCTTTCTGTGTGCAAAGGGCAAGAAACCAGAACATTTACCTTCACAAAGCTTATAGACCAGGATCTTTACTGCCTGGGGCAGCCAGCCACAAGGTCATAGTCTGATCGAACATATCCACAGAGATGGAGACAGAGCTTGGCCCAAAAGAAGCTGGGAGTCAAACCCAAAACAGAGGTAGAATTAAGAACCTTGCAGAATAACTAATATCCCTATGTGACAGATTTCTGTAAGGCTCATCCTGCCCAATGGGGAATCTGCCAGGAGCCTTTGATTGATATCCTAATAGCAAATGGGTGTCTGAATACTCTGCCCAACCCAAGTGTCTCATTCCTTCATCCCTTTATTCATTTATGAAAGCAAATATTTAGTTAACTCCTGGTTGAAGAACTACACCTTGCCTCAGAGACTGAAGACCACAAAACCATAAATCATTATAAACACTATATATAATAAGGGATCTGGGAGAGGGGATGGGTCAGGGAAGGTTTGCTGGAAGTGATCCCATTCAAACTCAAGTCCTGAAGTATTCGTAGGAATAAGCTAAGAGAGGTGTGCCAGGGTGGGACA